CAACATCAAACACCCATTCGGGATAATTGTTTATTCATGTGTTTAGCACAACTCTTTATAGGCAAATATTAAGCAAACAGCGTGTCAAATCAATTTGCACTTGGCGTCAAGATGTTGGCAAGTGTTTAACCTCTTGCTCTTTATGATTTACAGCGCATTTATTGCGGATGAATTGTAATGACACTTGGCATCCGCAGGAATTTCGCATAAATATTCAAGAATTTTAACTTGAGAGCGTGCATAAAATCAATCAATAAGCAATTACGCCCTTCGTTTTTCCGCCTGCAAATAAATAAATAAATAATAAATAAACATATTTGGCTGCGTGGGCGAAGGGGGAGGGCACAGCCGTAACATTAAATAGGAAATTGTACGTCGTACATATTGCTGAGCAAATACGAAATTCAGTCTACGCATGAAACACGCATTTGCATGCGTGTGGGCAGGGTGGGCGTTTGCTTGATGTGGGTGGGCCATCGGGTGGCTGGCTGAGAGGAGCGCTCCAACGGCTGCGGAATGTTGTGTTTAGTGAAAATTGCTTCAACAATTTTCTTGTAGTCATTCAAAGTGAAACATATGTTGGGTGTCACAGTTAAAATATGTATATACGATACGCCAGCACACAAATAGAGGCAACAGCCGCGCGCTGGGCTGAGCTGGATTGGGTTGAGTAGGGCTGGGTTGGGCTGCGTTGGTTTGCTTCGAAATTCAATAGGAGGCAAACAACTCGAACGAGTCAGTCTACTCGACGCCTACTTCGGCTCTGCTGAGCCCCCCCCCCCCCCCCCCCCCCCCCCCCCCCCCTACACATGTCTGCCTGTCGTTCTCTTTTGCGCTCTTTGTTTTTATGCAGCACTCTTGCTTTTTGGTTTGGGACTGGCTCAATTTATTTTTATGGCATCATGTTTGGTCGCTACGTGTGGCAAAGCGGGACTCTTCCATTTTTCGCCTTTGGCTTCTGTTTCAGCTGCGTAAATTGAAACTGGAGCGTTGCTCGGCGTCCCATTACGTATACGCACCGTGCTCTTGCTCGTGCGCGTACTCCACCACGCGCCTATTAATGCCTCTAACAGCAGCCGCATTGCCCGAGACAGTCGCATCTTCGCATCATTCCTACATCAAAGGTTCAACATGATATACATTACATCAAAGCGCTGAGCAGAAGCATTGACGTCAGCCCATAGCAGGCCAAACAGACAAACAACAAATATGAATATCTCGTGCTCTGCAGATACAATTACTTAAACAGTCGAAACACGAGAAGATCCGAGGTAATCAACAATACCTGGCGATACAGTATCAGTGGGCTACAGCTCATCTGGGGTGTATCTCGCAAATATCTCTCAGATTGCATTTCACATGCTTCTGAATCGTCTTTCATGACGTGAAATCACGGCGAATTAAATACGGAAATCAATGCACAGGTCACGTCGCACGATTGAAAATCAAAACAGAGTTGAGAGCAAGCTCTGTAAGCCAAATTATTATGAACGATATTTGCATTTTGGCTCTGATTATGCGCCAGGTGGAGCAATAAACAGCAAACATTTCAATGTTGTTGATTTTGCTTTGTTATTGCAGAGGCTTGGGTGAATCAGAGCGAATTCTTTCGGCTTGCCCTCTGGGGACAACTCCCGAGTGCTTGCGTATAAATCAAGTAAAATAATTATGCGAATCTGCAGGACATTCCATTATCTGTGTTTTGGGCTCTTCCGCAGTGCCTTTTATCGCGCCGCTCGCCTTTATTGCCGGTTGCCAAACGCCGCTCAACCAGCCCACCGATCCACCCACCCACCGTCGGTCGAGCTTAGCACTCAGACCGGTACCCGCAGCCGCACCCACCGCCGGTGGCGTGTATGCCCTGTCCAGCAAATGCTGCCACCGCCGTCGGCACAGCTCATAAATAAGTTCCAACGTCGCCAAAACAAAACATTTTTCATCTGGCTCTCGGCCGAACAGGCCTGTCGGTCGGTCTGTCGGTGGGTTGATGGGGCGGTGGGTCGGTGGGTCGGTCGGTCGGTCCTCATCCGTCGTCGTCTGTCGGCATGTGCTCTGGGAATATTTCATAAATTTCGACGCTAGCCCCGTAACTGAACCTCTGAACCTCTCGCACTGCCCCTGCCACTGCCCCCGCCTCTGCCCCTACTCCTGCCGCTGCCTATCCATATAGACCGATATATAGAGAGCATTGCTCCAGCATTTTTTGCTATTTATTTTTGGGGCCATTTTCACACTTGGACGGGAGTCCGGAGCCGGACGGACCCAGGCCCATATCCTCTCCCAAGACTCGTTGACGCTTGGTCGACTGCACTTTGTCATCTGGTGGGCACTTTTCCTATTTTTCAACAATTACACGCCCCAGCCACTAATGCCACACACTTGTTGTTGTTGTTATTGTTCTTGTTACTCTGTTCACTTTTGCTGTCATTGTTATTTTGGCATTGTTTCACACAGCTTTCCGTTCATGTCTTGTGCTTGGCGCTTTTGATTGGTCGCCAGCGCCAAACCCTCTGAATAATTTAAAGTCAACCTGCTTCCCTCTCAATTTTTCCAGGCCAAAAGAGCAGCGTCGACCCCTCAAACAAAATTGTTAGTTTAGGGCGTGCGACTAAATGAACAGTGGCAACAAGTGCTGCGAAATAGAGTCGAATTTTCAATAATAATGTTCATATTGAAGGAGAAATAGAATATAAATAAGATAAAATAGATGGGATGTGATAGATTTGGAAACCTTTTTGAACCATGATTATAGAACACTAATAATAATGAGAAAATATAATAATAATAA